TACTATTCGATTATTAAATCATAGTAGGCCGTATACTGATAAGTTGTGCATATGTGCCTTCTACGCCGCTCGGACTCTTAAGGGTTTTGGTTGAGGGCTGATGGTTCGGAGCCTCACGTTTCAAGTAGCCATACTTTGATACGTTGTTTCTCCAGCATAGTACGAAGTCGTCGTCGTGTTGGTGGGTGGGTCAGTGCTGTCCAGAACGCTGGCGGCAATACGCTGAGGCTTGTAACAGTGTATAATAAGACACGAACACTCAAAGTACGGATTCTTGGGGGCGGGGGGGGGGGGGGNNCTCTCTCTCTCTCTCCTTTTCTCTCTCTCCCTCTCTGCGTGCGCTTCTTGGGCTCGGCCAGGCTGTGACGCAGAAGGGCATTGACCTTGCCAACTACCGCTGCTTCAAGGATGGAGCTCCCTTCGGTTCGCATGCTTCGAGATTGAGAGGGAAAAGGGTGGGTTTGGGGTGTAATTAGTGCTAAACCTTTCAGATCCTGAAACAGCATGACCTGCCAGAGGTGTCGATGTTTACGCATGGCGTTTGCCTGTACTTCGGTGTCAGAGCCTCGGAGAGCCTTCATGATTCTGGCGGAGACTGGACGGGGCCCGACTGGTCGTGCATCTTGCGTTGCCGTCTATCGGGGATAATCTAGAATCTGTAGTAAGGTGCCCTTTTCTGCAGGACCCGGTTGACAACTGAAGGACGTGATCACAAGTTAACAGCTGGCTGCTGGTGATAGGCGCGTTGGTCACATGGCGCGATATGGGGCCTAAAGAGTGTCCATATGCCATAACTGCCATAACTTTGTAGGTCTGAAAGCATCGAAGTTGCCCCAGCTTGACGAAAGGTGAATGCGAACTGCGGAGATACTCCTCGAAAACTGCTATCGAGCCGAGGTTCCGGCAGCGGAGGACGAGTCGGCAGCAGAGGAGAAGCGATCCAATTGGGCTTGGTACCCGAAAGCAACGGGGTGCCTTTCGTAAGGAGTCGCTTTGCCTTTTGAGGTCATGGACATCTCCCGAGCCGTTCGGTTGGCCTGGGGCCAAGGCTGCCAAGGAAGCCCCTGTGGCCCACAGAAACCACGGCAGAAAAGCAACCTGATGTTTCTGGTGGCGTTGTTGCGCTGTCATCTGTAGAATCCCGATGACAGATTCTGAGACACGACCTGTAAGTGCGAGGTGACTCAGTCTCTGTTTCCGGTCTTTCACATCTCCGTGAAGCCTTTGCCAGATGCCACGGCCTTTGATGACACGTCCAGCGACACTGCTACTGAGCTATCAGACTGTACAGCCAGTGAAGCCTCGCCGCGTAGCCATCCTGTCTTCATTGTGTCAGACAAGTCAGCTTCGCATCAGGGCTGCTCTGCACCGACCAAGGTGCCCACCACCAATCGCCGAATCATGGCCGGCATGCCAAGTTTGCGTAGTCGGACAGCAGACCCCGGGAGACGACACTATCTTTCTGGATCTGTGTAGAACTTTTCATGCGGATCCGTTCAGCTGAACCTGAGCTGGCCTTCGAAATCGCAAGCTCAGAAGATTTACTGCCGAATATCACTTGGGCCAGGCAGGGTACTTGGCGCATCATGACGACTCGGCGACCACCTCGGCAAAGCACCCAGTCATCAGCCGGCGGTGGCTCCTCCCAATGCTGTTGGCTCGTCTCTTAAGCATGAAGCCCTCGCAACTCCACCCGTGCTATATCCCCCGTCGAGAATCCATCGTTTGATTGGGTTTGGGCAGAAACAAAAGCCCGAATTCCGATGTTCGCAGGCGTCGACCTTACCAGACATGTGCGAATGAGGCCATTATACATTGATGACTGCATAGAGATTCAGCAAGAATGAAGCTCCTACAAAGGTCCTCTACTGCGAGCTGCACCCGCAACTCGGCGAGAAGGCTGACCGATGCCGTCGGACAAGTTGGCCTTCTGTTCAGGGTCGTTTGCCTTCAGGAGGTCTGGTAGTGGTGGGGGAGAGTGTCATTTCCACAATGTATCAGAGGCTGCATTTTCCAAGGCAGCCATTGAGCTCTCTGTGAGGAGACCCAGCCTGCTATCCCCCGTTGCCTTGAGCCATTGAGCTTGGCTGGCTTTCCGACTCCGCAGAAGCGGCTCCCGTCGAACAATCCGGCGCCGGGGGCAACATGGCGCTTGATGGATGCTGATAAAGAGCCTTAAAGAGCCAGGAGCGACTCGCCAAAAAAGCCCCCCGAACATGGAGAAAGGAGTGCTCAACAAGAGAGAAGAGTCTTTAGAGCACCTTCTCCCGGGCCGTGGAACAGGCACGGCTGGCCCTCTACGAGAACGAGTCCTGCCAGGCCGGTCCAGCAGGGTAGGAATCCTAAGAAAACGGCCCGGGTGGGAGGCCACACACCCACCCACGCACGCACGCACCCACCACACCCACACACACACACACACACCCACACACCCACACACACAGAGACACACCCACACACACGCACACGCACACCCAAACACACACACACACACAACACGCCCACCCACCCAGCCACCCACCCGCACAATCGTGCACGTGTGGCGCACGCGCACGTATACATACATATATATATATACACATTACATACATACATACATACATACGTACGTACATACCCCCTCACAACCCACACAACCATATGCTTGCGCCCCGTATACATATGACATATATGATAAGTATCTGTCTATACATATTTACACACATACATACATACATACACACACATACATACATACATACATGCATACATACATACATACATACATACATACATGCAAGTATGGATTCTGTTCCTAAGAAGAGGGCCCGTATGCTGACTGTTTGGGGTTGAGGGGTTTCAGGATTTGGGTGCGCTGAATGATATGACTGGGCTGTGTGTTCATTGCGTTGTGTAAGGGCCAGGGGAGGGATTCTGCATGATGAATACCTTAGGGAGCCGCAGAGCGAAGCAAAGTGTTACTAATTCTACACTGTGTGCTGACGTAACCGGAGCATTTCGCACCCTTTCGCACTGATTGCCGTTTTTTGAGTTTGTGTTGCTGATTAAGCACCCAGTGCGCCCCGGCAGAAAGGGTTGCAACCTGGAATCTAGCGCCCAGGTATGCCTGTCGGAGATCTCTGTCACCGCTCGCGGGGGCCCTTGTTGCTTTCAACTTTGGAGTCTAAGTCTTCGGCAGGTCAAGGTGGTGAGTGACTTGTCAGTTTCAGCTTCCGTTTTGTCCGGGAGTGGGGGAAGCGTAGTGTGGGTTCTCAGTGGTGGTCGAATCCCTTGCGCTTGTTCTAGCCGCTCCCGGATAGGCGCCTCAACCAACATGGTATTCCCGACCTGAAGCGGAAAGGAAAAGAGGTGATTGGAAAAAAAGGAGTCTCGAAATGCCGATTGCTCCGTAAAGGCTGAGCCCTGGGCAAGGGGCGGCAAGGCCCCTGTCTCCAGCCCGGGCCTTTTTGCCCCGAGGCACCTCTTGCACTGAGAAGGTGGGCATCAGCTGCGCACTTACTACAGCTTTGATACACAAGCTTCGGAGACGGCTTTTGTCCCCGAATCATGGATTCCCACTGTTTGGACAGGCATTGTTGAGTTGTTCTTTGGAGGAGCTCCTGCATAAAAAATCTTCCATGCGACATGTCTTGGTGTACAGGCCAGCCTTCATGAAGCTGCACTTCAGTCGCACCAAGTCTGTTAGCTGAGGTTGCACGTGCTTCACCATCGAGCAGCACCTTTTTTCCTCAAGGAGACTCTTGTCCCCATGCCTTTTGCAATTCACTGCGAAGCATTCAGGCGTCCAGGCATCTTAGACGTATCTTGGGGAGCCAAAGCATAGTTACATTCGTTATGCTTCCAATACAGACAAAGACTGTGGCATAGTTTGTCCGTCGCACTTTGTCTTGGTACGGGCGAAGCACCGAAACTGCACCCATAGACCCGCACCACTAAGCGAGCTGTCCACGAAGCGTCAGGAGCATTGCCGAGAGGAAGCTTTGGCTTAGGACCGCCAGCTAGCAGCTATCGACATGGTCAGATGTGCCTGTTTCCTGGAGTGCAGCTTCGAACTGATGCCTCTCCCACGTTTGCAGGGCGATCTCGAACATCAAGGTGAAGTTGCAGACGCTCATGCAGCACCAGGGATGGGGGATCCGGGCTTTGTAAGGCTCAGAAGCCCAAGGCCCTCGCGTTTCGGGATGTGCTGCTTCAAGGTTCAACTCTCTTCACAGATGTAGCAAGAAGTCGCGATTAGTCGTGATGCACTGGGGGTGGGCATGAGAGTTGTGAGCGGACACAGGCCTGCCTCTGTGCTATCAAGTAAAGCGGCCAACGGCCAAGTTGCACCTGGCGGCGGTGCCTCCCTCACCCCCTTTTTCCGAAGGGAAAATGAACACTGCACTTTAACCACTTAAGTATCTATCATGGAATGTTGTCTTACCAAGCTAGACTGAGCGGTGATGCCCTTTTCTACCGAGAGGGGTTTCCAGGAGGCTATGAGATCCTATGAGCTTCCAGCTTCCGTAAGGAACAACCGAACCATCAGGTCTTGACCTGCAAACATCAGAAAATGAGGAGCCGTAGCAACCAACCGCCATTTGGGGCGACAGCCACAAAACATCCCGATATTCAAGGAACGCTGCCCCGGATGCGAACCACGAGGACTTGTACCAGTGAGGGCCTCTGAACATCTGGGTTTACTTCACTTAGAAGTTTCGGTTTTCTTCAGGGCCAACCACGAGGGCATGATGCTGCAGGGTGCTTAGGTCTTGAATCATGGTGCTTTGGGACTGCCTAGGGCCTTCATGTGGCCCGTCGTTGGAGTAGTTTGGTGCTTGGCGTCAGGCGGCAATATGCTGCAGCATTGCATTACACAACCCCTCCATGGGAAGGACCTGAATCTTACTTGGCAGGTAGGCAGAGGCCAACAATGCGCAATAATGCACAGTGCCGCACGGGTTTAGAGGCTCAAAGAGGACTCAGAAGGCTGCCCTGAGACTTGCCATCTCGCTAGCTCGATGGCTTTGCTTCGCGCCTCCCTGAACCTGGGATCAGACGATTGGAAGTTGCAGTGAGCGTCAATGGGGTTTGCGCCTTCTTGCCTGTCGTGTTGAGGCGCTTTTTGCCGCTGGGCTGTCCGGTTTTGTAGAGTCGCAAATCTAAGGATTGCATTCCTGCTTGCCGTCAGAGCTGCTGCAGACGGTGCCAATGGGACGGCAGCGACGCTGAGCTAGTGATTGTTAACTCTGCCGTGATTGTTATGAGACTGCGTACAAGCTATGCCCGAGCCTCAACGTGACAACTGGCAACCGTTTGGTATCGCAGCATCTCTCTCCACCAAGAGAGTAGTTGACAACAGTCTACGTACGTCGTTCTGCTCACAAGAATCGGTTGGAGCCGAGAGGAGAGCAGAATTTGACGATCACACACCCGCCTTCTGATCTTTGGTTGATGTGGTGACTGCACGGCTGCCGCCCGCAATGGCAAGAAGTAATGCCACAGCAACGCTGCAGATTTGGGAGGTGAAGGTGTCGAGCGGTGCAACACTCCGTACAGTTGCAACAATCCAAACTCTGTTGCTTGCCTTGCCAGCCCTCCAAGACGTCACTCTCAGCAGTTGCAACTTTTGGGTCACTAGAACTCCAAATGGTCAATGTTAATTTTCGTTCACCGCAGAAAGCATGGGCACAGAGGCCAATGACTCAGGCTGCAGCTTCCAAGTCTAGACCTGAACTTCAACGTTGCCGAGGATAGACTCCAAGACAGAGCCGATCAACGCCACGAGTGCCACGAAGGCCAATTTTGTCTTTGTGTTGAGGTGCTGTGCGGGCTTTGTCAAACGGCTCTGGGGGCACATGAGGGATTGAACCTGCATTGCTTCTGGGAGTGTTTTAGGGCAGGGTCTGGAGGGTTGGAAAATGTGCGGTTTTGAGGTAGCACTTTGAAGGATGGTGGAGAGTCTAGATGCCCGGGCACAAACATGGATGGCAGCTGATGTGTCACAATAATAAGATCGTGCTGATACACCTGCCGGTGAGGCATCCACCGCTGGACTGAAGGTCAAGCGAGGAGGCAGGCAGCCTTTGATTGGGACTCATGCGGTCGCGGCTGTGTCTGCGAATGTCAGTGACACGTACTGGAACTCCGAGTGTGGAGTCTTTGGTGTGGCAGAGGATTTCAAGCAATGAAAGGTTGAGCAAGCAAGGTCATCCACTGCTTATGGGGCCTTGAAGCAGCTGCGGGGAGTCTGAAGACGTGCTTGTGCAATATGTTGTGCCATACGCTGCACCTTGCGTAGCCAGGAATCTGTAATCTGAGGCAGAAGGGCCCAGGGAAGCCTTGGCGCCCAAAGCATTGCATGAAAACAGCTTGGCACCGGAAGGCCAGGAGCAAGGCCCGGATGTTGTCCGGATCCTGCACATCAGCGACACGCACAGCCTCCATCGAAGCCACTGGTGCAAACACGGCTCGGGGGTTCGGCTGGACAGTGTCCGAGATACCGTAGGGCAGATCGCGGGATCTCTTTGAAAAACCGATAGGCTACAAGGGTATCGGAGTTGGCTCTTCAAGTTGTTGACGATGAGGTGGAAGGCAGGCTGCCACCTCCTTCGCAAGCTCTTTTCGTCACGTCATGTCATGTTCTGCTGTTACCATTCCATGGCCAGTGCTGCGTGCATCCGTCAAGACCTTGCGCCAAGACGACAGAGGCACCGGGAACATGCCGGATGCCGACATTCTGATCCATTCCGGGGATGTGGCCAAGGCGTGGACCCGGCATAGACGGGGTCAAGGCTGCAGTTCCCAGCGCTTCAGGAACGGGCATGAAGTGATGGGCACCATGCCATTTGGAGCTACTCTGCATGATCTGAGCTTCTTGCAGGACATCACAAAAAGAGTTGGAACGGAAGAGTGCAGAGTATACAAGCCCAGCAATGCCAACGTTCGCAAACGGAAACCGGGATGCCGTCCATGTTTCAGGTGGGCTCAGAGAGCGAGCTGGGCGATTTCAACGACTGGCTTGGCAGCCTTAAGCGACTCGTCGCCACAACTCATGCTTGTGATGAGTATCAGTATTGCTGTTGTCACTACCAGACGGTGAATGTGCTGTTCTCATTATTGGCATCAGCAGCAGTGTCATTGCTGCGTTGTTCTCATGGACTTCTAGTACCTTCTGTTCGTTTGATCCTTCGCCCGCTCGTTTTGAGTAGTGGCCTCTCAGAAGCCCCAGACCTCTTGCCCCAAAGACCTGCCGCGAGACAGGGGCAAGTACAAGCACATCCTAGTCATTTCTGGAAACCACGACTTCTGGGACACCAACTGGAGGCCGAATGAAGGGCTTTTTCTGGTCCAAGGGCATCGATTCGAGAGGTTTAGGGCTTGGCGCGTGCGGTTTCAATATGGCTTGGGGATTTTTAGGTTTAGAATTTTAGCAGGTGCATCAGATAGATGTTTGTGGCTTTGAGCTGCGTCGGGGCCGACCCTGGAAGTACTCTTTGCATTGAGCTTCGTGAGGTGATGAGGAAAAGGTCGCTTTAGTCCTGGATCTTCCACTTCTCACTTCAAGCACTCTTCTCTTCTTCTGGAAGTGTGCTACTTAGCTACAGCTACTTCTGAAAGTTCCATTGGGGTTCCGAGATGCCGGGCGAAGGCCCCTAGTCGAGGAGCGCTGGCAGAGGCTTAGGACCAGAAGCTGTTATTGTTTGTCATCGCCAGAACTTAACACTTCTTGCTCCAATTCTCCCTGGATATTCGGGCTTGTCAACATGTTTCGTGGTTCGGCATGACGTCTCGCTGCTCCCTGCAACCGTTGCGCCTGAAGGCTGAACCGCGGACACATCTCCAACGATGTCGTCCAGGATCCCGCCTACTTCCAGCACCTCGGAGTAGCGAAGCATCGTGAAATGAATGCCATGTGGAACTTGCGTCTCTTGGGATAGCCCGAAGCGTTTCTAGGGCACGGACGTGTGCTACGACCGTGATGAGAGAAGCGTCTTCAAAGTGCGAGTTGCGCCAGGGCTCAGGGCTCAGTGAGAGGGATCTCCACGCGACGAAGGTACAGGATCACGAATGCCCGAGTCCTCAATCACGATCTCGCCGAGGCTTGATGGGATCCCCGACTTTTGGTCTTCATACCCATACTTGAAGCTTCGCTATCTCTAAGCCTTCGTGTCTGGCAGGCGATGTAGCTGAACAGTGACTGCCGCTCTGCTTAGCTCGTTTACACTTGGCGTGTGCTGGGCCAATGGTTTTGTTCGCTGCTTCCGGCAGGTCATGGGCCTGAAGATCTGGGGCGCCGGCTGGCACGCCCGAAGGGGAGATTCCCGATCCGGCAACAATTATGCCGACATCCCCGAAGGTCCTGGCTTGGGAGCTTCGAAGTGAACCATGTCGGAGTCATGTTTCCTGCGCAAGTTGTCTGTTTACCTGTAGACTCGACCTTTTGGACAATCAGGAGAAAGAACAGCATGGGACCAGGAACCCACGAAGAAGGATAGCGAAGCCATACCTGTCGGCTGCGGCATAGCCTATAGACAGACAATCACACAGTATCTGCATGCATTCGAGGGCTCAGGTTTCGCAAAGCCCTTCATTTTGTGCCGAGTACAGATTGAGCAACTTGACTCGACCTTGAACTGGATACACTACCACGTTTGCTGTTGACGAATCCTGACGATTTTTTAAGCTGAAGCCACACGGCCTGTCTTCACCGGCGGAGGTGTTGACATCGTCGTCACCCACGAGGCACAGACTGTCGGGTTGCCAGGTTCCACCTCTCCTCATGTACTTGTTGCACTGCTGTGCTTTCCTTGCAGCATTTCCCTAGACTTGACCCGCAAGGCCCAAGGCCTGCTATAAACTTGATGCGGAGAGGCTCTGTATCTTCGCATTAGCAGCCACTTTCAGCAGTCCAAGAGAAATCATTCATTTCAGCTTCGTTCGATTCGAAGAGCAGGCAACGCCACTACTGAGGACGAAAGTTGTTGCACCACCACGTTACGATCCGGAGGATCATGGACCATCCCAAACTGAGTTGACGTTCCCTTGCGACGCCATACCACTCTTGAGATGTAGGTCCATTCAATCTCTAGGCTCGCGGCTAAACCACGGAGCCTTGCGTCACCTAAACACGAAGCGTGGCACTCAGGAAGTCCCTCAACAATCTACCCTAAAGGCTCAGCCATTTTGGCTCAAGACCGACCGCCAGCTGGTCTTGCCCTGGGCCGCGCATTCAGGCCTACTCAGGCCGTTCCCCGTCTTGTCGTCTTCCCTTCGCGGGGGTCTCCTTGTAATTACCTCTTGTCCGCCCCCAGCGTCGTCGTCGGTCGTGGCGAAGCAGGATGACCACGTCGCCTAATCAGGACGAGATCGAAACCGTGATTTTGCCCTCTGGGGGTTTAGGGGGGGCGATGGAGGTTGAAGATGGTGGGGAACGGGCTGGGGAGGGGGGGTTCCATAGTCCTGTGTCCACGGGGCGCCTGCAAGGGGGGGGCGAGGAGGATGAAATGAGGGAGGCAGCCCAGGCTGCTCTTGCGGCTGCACTGGAGGGGTCGGGGGGTGGGGATGGAGGGGCCGTTGGGGGGGGCGACCG